GTGACGTTTGAAACAGGCGCCGCGTCTCACCGGAAGTGACGGAGCGCAACAGGAAGCCGGAAGGAAAAAAGGCCGGCGAGTATCACGCTGTTCGTCTAGACCAACGAAGGTAAGTAAGGGAAGGGGGGAGTCCCTTAAGTAGGTCTATAGCCCCTCCCACAACTTCAGGCCATGCCTTCCAATATATGAATAGTGATTGCTTAATGTTGCCTGATGTAGTCTGAAAGTGTGTTGTGATTTCTGTGATAATAGTTCTCATCATAGAGTGAGTATGTCAAAGTGAGTAGTTTTATTCTAGTTATAAGTGGGAGGATCAAGAATGCAATCTTACTATGTATTGTCTTTAGCAGCAATGACTCATCCAATTTCCAGAATTACCAGCTTAGTAATTATAGTTGGGAAAATAAATCACAATTAGTATTATTTTGTATAGTGTTTGAGTAATTACATCCAATAACATTGAGAACTTAAAAGAACACAATAGGCACCAAGACCACTTCATCTCAATGAAGTGGTCTGGGTGCCGTGTGTCCTCCCATTTTAACCCTGCAGTTGAAAACATTGCCATTCTGCAAGAACGGAAATGTTTCCATTGCAGGGTCAAGCTGTCCCTAGGTGTTGTCAATATGATAGCCACTACAGCTGCTTTCATAGAATAGAAGGCCGAAACAATCGTCCAGGGTTGCGGTATCTATCGTGCAGAGAGAATTTGCCAGCAATTCAGTTCTGGACTGCCATTATGGGTGGGATAGGACTGACATGCCTTGGAACTGGTTTTCTCTGTAATGGCACAAGTGAGCTAAGACTATTTTGAGACCTGAGTGGGGATTTACTGAAGGGCAAACTATGGAGTTCCTCTAAGCTTCTGTCCATTCTCAGAGTTCTCATATTCTCTGTTTTGGTAAAATAGCAGAGTGGCCTCAAACATCTACCAACACCATTGCCATTTGAATACATGCAGCACAGCAGGGTTTTTAAATTAATTAATTGCATAGTTACATATGCTGAAAAGAGACATGTGTCCATCAAGTTCACCCTTCCTCACATCTGTTTTTTGCGGTTGATCCAAAAGAAGGCAAAAAATGTGCATTCGGCTCCTCTCGGGAGCTGACGTCGACGGGGATGGAGAGGTCACCAGTGCCGAGGGAGCCTTGCACAGGATTAAGGTAAGTGTCTGAAGGGGTTTTAACCCCTTCAGCGCCGAGGGAAGGGGGCCCTGAGGGAGGGGGGCACTCCAAGAGCCTAAAGTGCCGGAAAAACGGATTTGTTTCCCTTGCACTATAGGATCCCTTTAACCCCTTAAGGACACATGACATGTGTGACACGTCATGATTCCCTTTTATTCTAGAAGTTTGGTCCTTAAGGGGTTAAGGTAAAAAAAAAAATACCTTTCCTTTGCCTTAAACTAAATCTTCTTTCTTCCAGTCTAAACGCATGACCTTGTGTCCTTTGTATAGTCCTATTTGTGAATAGATTTCCACACAATGGTTTGTATTGGCCCCAGATATATTTGTATAATGTTATCATATTCCCTCTGAAGCAATGTTTTTTTCTAAACTAAAGAGGTTTAAATTTGTTAACCTTTCTATATAGCTAAATGTTCCATTCCTTTTATAAGTTTTCTAGCCCGCCTCTGCACTCTTTCCAGTGCCATAATATCCTTCTTTAGAACAGATGCCCAAAATTGCACAGCATATTCAAGATGTGGTTTTACCAGCGATTTATACAGAGGCAAAATGATTTTCTCATCACGAGAATTAATGCCCTTACTGACCTAAGCAACTGCTGATTGACATTGCACTTTGTTGCCTGGTTTGTTGTCTATAACAATTGTAGATTATGCTAACGTAGTATACTAATAATCTTAATTTTAGTAATGACAGGAGGCAAGTATTTTGCATTGACTTTCTTTACTTAAAACTCCAGCAGCAACAAGTCAATCAAAAACCTTTAACCAATCAGAAAACAACAGTCATCACAGATATAAGGCAGGAGAGCCCATAATGCTCCCTCTTTCTTTGCTGCTCCTACAGGAACAGGTCAGAGTATATGCTTTTTAGCTTGTCACTCTTGTATAATCCTAATTTGACTTTTTTTATGTACTGTTATTTACTTCAAACTGTCTCTTTAGGGTTGGTTAACCTATTCCTTTCGGTTGTACTCCTTGTACTTACTATCTAATAACCTTTTATTGTGTTTGTGCCTTCCTTGTCAGCCTATACCAGTTTGCTGTCAGAGTATATGCTTCTTAGCTTGTTACTATTATTCAATCCTAACCTGACTGTTTTATTTACTGTTAGTTACTATTTGTCCTTACTCCTGTACTTAATATCCGCTTTATATTGAGTTTGTGCCTTCCCTGTCAGCCCATTTCTGATTGTGTGGCTCCCTGGCCTCTACCTCTCCAATCTGTGTACTGTATACTATCTGGTCGCGGCCAGCATCGACCTGCAGCATTTTAGGGCATAGGGGGCCTCTCAGACTAACATACTAACTTCTGGGGCTGTCAGGGATTCTCACTCTCGGACCCGCGGGAGTTCTTCCCGCCAGGTCCACGCACGCGGCGACCATCTTGGATCTCACGAGATTCACGGTGGCCATTTTGTTTTTCTCACAGGCACTCTGTAATCTGGCCTGCAACTAACCGCAAGTGGAGACACCACCTGTCACTCCCAGCACACTCAGGCACACAGGACCTATCATACAAGGTGAACTTACAGCCAATATACAATATAAAGTCTATTAACCTCTTAAGGACCAAACTTCTGGAAGAAAAGGGAATCATGACATGTCACACATGTCATGTGTCCTTAAGGGGTTAAGAATCTATGTGTATTTTTATTTTTTTGTGCTGCCATCTTTTTAATATGATGAGTCACATATTCATAAATATAAAGTAATATTTTAAGAAGGGTGTTTCTGATACAGGCAGAACATTGCCGTGACTGGATATTTATTATCTTGTAATAAATATATTCAGCTGAAGCACTGTTGGACTGAGTAATACAAATTAAATTATGGGCATTATAAATAAAAAAAAAAATGGCCGAGCCATTTATGTGATATTTCATATTATTTCCATTTGACAAGATTAATTGTCGAGGTGGGGGAATCTGTCTACCAGAGACAGCAATTGGTGCTATCCTTTGAGTGCCTTTCATGGAAGCATGAGGAACTATTTGGTAAGTTAAAAAAACTGAGTCATTGCTTCGGCCTTGAATATCTTTATTAAACTTATCTTTAAAGGAACAGTATAGTTACATTATAGTGTCCCTCTGCACCCATAGCCTGCAGCAATGGAACGGTTAAAAATCCTTTTAATATTTATCTGATTCCAGCGCCAAAGATTCTCCATCTCCTCAAACATTAGCACGAAGGGGAACCAAGTGTGCATTTGTTTGAACGAATGCCTTCGCATGGAGAATTGAAAGATGCTGGATGTCCTTATGCAAAGCGTGAAGACATCTAGCATCAGGCCCGGACTGGCCATCGGGCACGGAGGGCAAATGCCCGGTGGGCCGCGGTGGCCATGGGCCGAGGCCGGCAGGGGAGGTCCCAGGATCTCCCCTGCCGGTCTATGCAGGCACTCTCCCAGCGCCGGCCCCGCTTTGTGCCACGACGGGCCGGTGGGGAGATCAAGGATCCCCCTGACCGGCCCACATGCGGCCGCCGGCGGGGAGAGAGGGAGGGAGGGAGCCAGCCAGGCTGGAGAGAGGACCCGGCGGAGCTCTAACTTGCAGCTCCGCCGGGTTCCTCTCGCGAGATCCGGCGCGTTGCCATGGCAACGACCGGATCTCGCGAGAGTGAACTCTAGCCTCACAGGCTAGAGTTCACTCACCCACGAGGACCACCAGGGAACACCGCCACCCTGCCTGCCAGCGTGCCGGACCCCCCTCCCTCCCAGGCTAAAGGTAAGAAGGGAGGGGGGACATAATGCCTGTTTTTTTTATTTTATTTTTTTTATTTACCCCCCCCTACACACACACACAATAACATTTATACAGCACTCTCACACCCATCACACTCACAGCACTCTCACACAGCACTTTCACACAGCACTCTCTCACAGAGCACTCTCTCACAGAGCACTCTCACACACACACAGCACTCTCTCACACAGCACTCTCACACCCATCACACACAGCACTCTCACAGAGCACTCTCACACACTCACAGCACTCTCTCACACAGCACTTTCACACACAGCACTCTCTCACAGAGCACTCTCACACACACACAGCACTCTCACACCCATCACACACAGCACTCTCACACAGCACTCTCACAGCACTCACAGCACTCTCTCACACAGAACTCTCACACCCATCACACTCACACCCATCACACTCACAGCACTTTCACACACAGCACTCTCTCACAGAGCACTCTCACACACACACAGCACTCTCTCACACAGCACTTTCACACACACACAGCACTCTCTCACACAGCACTTTCACACACAGCACTCTCTCACAGAGCACTCTCTCACACAGCACTCTCACACCCATCACACTCACACCACTTTCACACACACAGCACTCTCTCACAGAGCACTCTCACACACACACAGCACTCTCTCACACAGCACTCTCACACCCATCACACACAGCACTCTCACAGAGCACTCTCACACCCATCACACTCACAGCACTTTCACACACACAGCACTCTCTCACAGAGCACTCTCACACACACACAGCACTCTCTCACACAACACTCTCACACCCATCACACACAGCACTCTCACAGAGCACTCTCACACACACACAGCATTCTCTCACACAGCACTCTCACACCCATCACACTCACAGCACTCTCACAGAGCACTCTCACACAGCACTCTCACACCCATCTCACACAGGGCACTCTCACACGGCACTCTCACACCCATCACTCACACCGCACCCTCACACACACACATACTGCACCCCTCACATACACACAGAACCCCCCCAACACACTGCACCACACACATACACAATACTTCCAAATATATATGTGTGTGTGTGTGTGTGTGTGTATATATATATATATATATATATATACACACACACACACACACACACACACACACACACACACACACACACACAACACTCTTAAAGGACCACTCTAGCCACCCAGAACACTTCAGCTTAATGAAGTGGTCTTGGTGCTAGGTTCTTCTAGGGTTAACCCATTGTTTTATAAACATAGCAGTTTCAGAGAAACTGCTATGTTTATCAATGGGTTAAGCCTTCCCCCAAAGCCTCTAGCAGCTGTCTCATTGACCGCCGCTAGAGGCGCTTGCGTGCTTTGCACGCAAGCGTCCATAGCAAAGCATTATAAATGCTTTCCTATGCGACCGGCTGAATGCGAGCGTAGCTCTTGCTGCGCGTGCGCATTCAGCCGACGGGGCGGATCGGAGGAGGAGAGCTCCCCGCCCGGCGCTGGAAAAAGGTAAGTTTTAACCCCTTTCAGAGCCGGGCGGGAGGGGGTCCCTGAGCCACATATGCATCACATTACACCACAAACACAACACGACTAAAACCGACCTTATTACACAATACCACACCACGACCAGCTCACTCTACACACACGCAATACCACAAGCAGGCTCCAAACACATGCACAATACTCTTTCCTGGCCTTTTGTCTCCTGGTATCCATTTATAGAGACACCAGAGACAAGTTGCAAGGAAAGACAGTGCAAGCATGTTATTAAATTTGCTTGCACTGTGCAGAACAAATACAGGACTTTTTTCTCATGCTAGAGCTCTTCAGCAGAGCTCTGCGCATGGTCTGCCCTGGAAGAGCATTGAACCAACATGCTCACTTTGAGAGGAGGCGTGTTTGTCATTGGTGATGACAAAACACACCTCCTATGCCCCGCTACCTTTTTAGTGGGCCGCTGTGTTAAAAAAATGCCCGGGCCGAATTTTTCTCCCAGTCCGGCCCTGTCTAGCATCGTTTCATGGAGTTAAAGGATCACTAGAGGGCCAGGAACACAAACATGTATTCCTGACACTATAGTGTTAAAACCACCATTTAGCCCCCCTGGGACCTCCCTGCCTCCATAAATATGGCCACATCTTACTGTATTCAAGCCAGAAGCTGTAGATCTGCATGCTGTTTACCTAAAAAAAAAAACAAGCAGTCTGCTGAGGTCATTAGAAGTGGTAGCCTGATCCAATCACAATGCTTCCCCATAGGATTAGCTGAGACTGACAAGGAGGCAGATCAGGGGCAGAGCCAGCATGGTTCAAACACAGCCCTGGCCAATCAACATCTCCTCATAGAGATGAATTGAATCAATGAATCTCTATGAGGAAAGTTCAGTGTCTGCATGTACAGGGAGTGCAGAATTATTAGGCAAGTTGTATTTTTGAGGATTAATTTTATTATTGAACAACAACCATGTTCTCAATGAACCCAAAAAACTCATTAATATCAAAGCTGAATATTTTTGGAAGTAGTTTTTAGTTTGTTTTTAGTTATAGCTATGTTAGGGGGATATCTGTGTGTGCAGGTGACTATTACTGTGCATAATTATTAGGCAACTTAACAAAAAACAAATATATACCCATTTCAATTATTTATTATTACCAGTGAAACCAATATAACATCTCAACATTCACAAATATACATTTCTGACATTCAAAAACAAAACAAAAACAAATCAGTGACCAATATAGCCACCTTTCTTTGCAAGGACACTCAAAAGCCTGCCATCCATGGATTCTGTCAGTGTTTTGATCTGTTCACCATCAACATTGCGTGCAGCAGCAACCACAGCCTCCCAGACACTGTTCAGAGAGGTGTACTGTTTTCCCTCCTTGTAAATCTCACATTTGATAATGGACCACAGGTTCTCAATGGGGTTCAGATCAGGTGAACAAGGAGGCCATGTCATTAGATTTTCTTCTTTTATACCCTTTCTTGCCAGCCACGCTGTGGAGTACTTGGACGCGTGTGATGGAGCATTGTCCTGCATGAAAATCATGTTTTTCTTGAAGGATGCAGACTTCTTCCTGTACCACTGCTTGAAGAAGGTGTCTTCCAGGAACTGGCAGTAGGACTGGGAGTTGAGCTTGACTCCATCCTCAACCCGAAAAGGCCCCACAAGCTCATCTTTGATGATACCAGCCCAAACCAGTACTCCACCTCCACCTTGCTGGCGTCTGAGTCGGACTGGAGCTCTCTGCCCTTTACCAATCCAGCCACGGGCCCATCCATCTGGCCCATCAAGACTCACTCTCATTTCATCAGTCCATAAAACCTTAGAAAAATCAGTCTTGAGATATTTCTTGGCCCAGTCTTGACGTTTCAGCTTGTGTGTCTTGTTCAGTGGTGGTCGTCTTTCAGCCTTTCTTACCTTGGCCATGTCTCTGAGTATTGCACACCTTGTGCTTTTGGGCACTCCAGTGATGTTGCAGCTCTGAAATATGGCCAAACTGGTGGCAAGTGGCATCGTGGCAGCTGCACGCTTGACTTTTCTCAGTTCATGGGCAGTTATTTTGCGCCTTGGTTTTTCCACACGCTTCTTGCGACCCTGTTGACTATTTTGAATGAAACGCTTGATTGTTCGATGATCACGCTTCAGAAGCTTTGCAATTTTAAGAGTGCTGCATCCCTCTGCAAGATATCTCACTATTTTTGACTTTTCTGAGCCTGTCAAGTCCTTCTTTTGACCCATTTTGCCAAAGGAAAGGAAGTTGCCTAATAATTATGCACACCTGATATAGGGTGTTGATGTCATTAGAACACACCCCTTCTCATTACAGAGATGCACATCACCTAATATGCTTAATTGGTAGTAGGCTTTCAAGCCTATACAGCTTGGAGTAAGACAACATGCATAAAGAGGATGATGTGGTCAAAATACTCATTTGCCTAATAATTCTGCACTCCCTGTAGAGGGAAGGGACACTGAATATTTGGATGCATTTTAGGCAGCCATGACCCAGTAAGGATCTCTAATAGCCATCTGAGGAGTGGCCAGTGAAGTTATCACTAGGCTGTAATGTAAAAACTGCATTTTCTCTGAAAAGACAGTGTTTACAGCAAAAGGCCTGAAGGTAATGATTCTACTCACCAGAACAAAATACATAAGCTGTAGTGTCCCTTTAAACTTTGTGAAAATGCAGGAAGAGCCTCTAGTGGCAGTCTGGTAGCCAACCACTAGAGGCAAACTTAACCCTGCAATGAAAACATAGCAGTTTCTCTAAAATTGCAATGTTTTCAGCTGCAGAGTTAAGAGGACAGTGATACTGCAATCAGACCACTTCAATGTGATGAAGTGATCTGGGTGCCTATAGAGTCCCTTTAACTTTCTCTATGCTGACTGCCAGGTGCATAGGAGAGAGAGCTTATAAACATGATTAACAGGGAGCAAAGATGGATGTGCTCATTTCCAAGTATGGATTTCTACATATAATATTACACACCTCACACATACATGTTGTTAAAAAGGAATAAGTGAGCATAATATGAACAATCCTGTGAGGTCCAAATTCCCTTTTACCTAACACCTGTCCTTAAAGGACCACTCTAGGCACCCAGACCACTTCAGCTTAATGAAGTGGTCTGGGTGCCAGGTCCTTCTAGGGTTAACCCATTTTTTCATAATTATAGCAGTTTCAGAGAAACTGCTATAATTATGAATGGGTTAAGCCTTCCCCCTAATCCTCTAGTGGCTGTCTCATTGACAGCCACTAGAGGCGCTTGCGTGCTTCTCACTGTAATTTTCACAGTGAGAGCACGCCAGCGTCCATAGGAAAGCATTGTAAATGCTTTCCTATGAGACCGGCTGAATGCGCGCGCAGCTCTTGCCGCGCGTGCGCATTCAGCCGGCGGGGCGGAACGGAGGCGGAGAGGAGGAGGAGAGCTCTCCGCCCAGCGCTGGAAAAAGGTAAGTTTTAACCTCTTTCCCCCTTCCAGAGCCGGGCGGGTGGGGGTCCCTGAGGGTGGGGGCACCCTCAGGGCACTATAGTGCCAGGAAAACGAGTATGTTTTCCTGGCACTATAGTGGTCCTTTAAGCTGTCTATCTTCTTACTTTGCACCCTATTTCCTAATCCTAACTCCAACCCTTTTCCTAAAGGACCTCTATTATTTCTCAAAAGGACACTATAGGCACCAAAACAACTTTCGCTTACTATAGCGGTTTTGGTGTATAGATCATGCCCCTGCAGTGTATTTGCTCAATTCTCTGACATTTACAAGTCAAATCCACTTTGTTTATAAAGCCCTAATTTCACCTCCTCTTATTTGACCTACACAATTTCCCTACACATTTCCTGTAAAGCGATATCTAATGCTTAAACTTTCTCTATTGCCCATTACTTATCTCCTGCTCTGTTAATAGCTTGTTAGAGCCTGTGTGTGTGATTTAAAGTTCAAGTAACAGAGTAGGAGATAAAATATTTTAAAGTAAACACACTGTGCTGTCAGATCTGATTGAAAATGAAACCATTTTGTCAAGAAGGCTGTGCAGGTCCAAGCCATTGGAGGTGTGGGTACGGCTGCATAAACAGAAACAAAAGTAATTTAACTCATAACTGGCAGACAATTGAGTAGTGAGACTGCAGGGGCATGATCTATTGATACAATAAAACTGCTCTATTAAGCAGAAATTTTTTGGTATTTAGAGTATACCTTTAAATACTCAATTAAACTATAAGCAAAACAAACAGGTCCAGCAAAAGGGTATTGACTTATTGATGGGGCCCAGAATAATGGAAAGTGCAACTCTACAAAGGATAAACCTGCTTAGCTGTGACAATCCAGGTTGCCATCTGCTTGAGCAGAATTCACAGACTAACCCTATTTCCAGGTATAATTATAGATTACTGAAGCAATTGTATACACATTAGTACCTTAGCAACAGTAAACCGATGTTCCATGGAACAGTTTCAAAGATTCTATTGAAAGAAGGATGACTTGTGATCCATTAACGAAACTAGCTAACTAGTAATTAGTATGTAAGGAGAAGGTAAACCTGAACAAAGATCAACACAAGATCTAATAACATACAAAGCAATGAGTATTTCAGATTTCTGGAGTTTTATCTTTTACAACACATTTTGTATTTTTG